CATTCAGGGGGCCCCCCCGCGACTGTGCGGCGGCGGGGGGGGACAGGCAGGCAAGCTCCCAGCCACTCACAGCCCCTGTCCTCTCCCCTCAGTTTGTGTGTGAGGTGGCCTCGCTGCACCAGGTGCGGGCGAAGTTGGACGCGCGGGGGCTGCAGTCGCTGTCCGCTGCCCTGGAGTTCATCCCCAACACCAGGGTGCAGCTCTCGGAGGAGGCGATGGAGCAGGCGTCCCAGCTGCTGGCCACCCTGGGCGACAGCCAGGAGGTGATGCGGGTCTACGACAACATCGAGTAGGGGCCAGCGCCGGTGAAGACCTGCCTGGCTAGCAGGTGACAAGGCCTCGTCCTGGCCTAAGATCAGCCCGTATAGAGGGCGGTGGGTGTACGGCGGACAGCTCGGCCTGTGAGGCTCCTGTACGGACAGTAACCAGGGTGTGGTTCCCAGCCTGGTCTAGTTCCTTGGATCAGGAGCCCATGGGGCAACCAGTTCAGGCCTTTACCTCATCCAGCCTGGGACTGGGCCCCAGAGCCCCATTTGGTTTCGAACTCAGCACCCTCAGGCACGGGGCGTGTTCTCCAAGGCGCCTTATGGCTCCTAGGTTCATCCCCTGGGATTTATGGCCTGAATGGCTCAACTCCCCTCATGAATCTGATCCCCCGTCCCCCTGCCCCTGCCTCTCTCCCGCTGTGGTGGGTGGAGGGAGCGTCCGCTGCGTCCATACAGCACCGCGCACCTCGTGGATAAAGAGTAACACTGTGCCAAGGCCACGACAACCTACAGACTTAAACCCCTCCCGCCCCCCATTCTGTGACCCCGTGTGCCCTGCTCTCCAAATGCATTGCCCAAGGTGGGCTGCCTTTCCCTTCCACTGCTTAATAAATGTTGCTTGACGGTGCTGGGGAGACTCCCTCCATAGAACTCGGCGGTTGCCATGGTGTTGCTGCAGCCATTTTGAATGCAATCAAGAAGGGAAGAGGACCCAAGGAGGAGGCCTTTGGGAGGAAAAGTGGAAATAGGGATTAGGGAAGTAGGAGGCCTGCACACCACTCCAGCAAGTGCTACCACGCGCCGCAGGGCCAGCCTGTCCCACGGTGGGACCGCCCTTTGTGCTTCAGGTAGCCACCGCCGATCTAGGCCTGGGGTTGGTCACGGAATGGAGCTTGACCAGGGGCATAGGCCTCTAAAATGGGTAGGATGAGGCTCTACTCCATGCAAAAAAGCAGTGTTAGCCTTCATCTCCAAGTGCAAGAGTGAGGTGAAACATGGTGTTTTTCTCCTGTCACTGGTCCCAGCGGGTGTCACGTCCCGATGGAGCTTTGGGACTGGCACTGAAGATAAATCCTGCATCCAAATAGGACTGCCAATGGGCCACAGGAATCAGAGTGCCCCCTGCTGAGCCCTCACCTCACTCCGTAGCCTTCCCCCCCCGCCCCGTCCAGCACCACACGGGGTTACTAGGCTGAGCACACTCTCCTTGCCTTCCAGGCTGTGTATTGTGTGTGTCTCTGGAAGCAGGCCAGGCTCAAAGGTCAGGCAGCCATGCAGGGGTGGCTGCATCTGCTGCCGCCTTGGATCCCTGCCACTGCATGTGCGCCTGGACCCTGCCCACGGGCCAAGCTAGCGTCAGTGTGGTATATGGGGTCCCACAGCAGGGGACCCACTGGCGAGCAGCTGGTGGTGTCCTTCCCTAGCTCCACCCTCAAAACAAGCTTGTGTTTAAAGACAGACTATACGCTGCGCCTTTTCAGCCACTGAAGATGTGGCTTATTGGCCATGGATGGGAATTCCTTGGACTTTAACCTCACTTACAGTGTTTGTGCCACTCTGTTTTAGTTAATAAGACAGATATAATGTGGGTTTTTGTGTCATGTCAATGCTCCTTGACCCTGGGCATTTTCCAAAGTTGAGTTGATTATGAAGACACAAACTATGCCCAGGCTATGGAAAAACTGGTATTTTGTTCTGAGTTTTCCCTTCAGTTTATTTGAAAAATCCCATCACAAAACAAAGGTTAAAAATATAAATAGAAGGAATGCAACATTGCCTTCACGGTCAGTCATCTCGATACAGGCTCCCCAGCTCAGAGCCTGGTAGAGGTTAGCCAGTGTGTTATTCACAACACAAATATGGGACGTGAGACTCTAACTCCCATTCCAGTGAGGGTATGTCTGCACCGCACCGTAACTCGAAATAAGAGACGCAAATTAAAAATACAAATACAGCTGATCTCTCCTAATGTTAATTTGTTAACTGAGTAATCGGGGTTTTACAGCCCTAGTTTAAATGTTTTGATTCTAGTGTTTCAAAGTTTTTTGCTCTCCCATTGCAAATCTACACAGGGAAGCTCCCAGCCAATGGGTTTCTTTCTGTCTTTGTAAGATTAAAGAACCTTCAGAAATTGAGGGAGATGAATCTATGTGACTAGTAAAGTGGACTATGGGATAATGCATCACAAGACCATCTGTTTGAAGTGTCCGGTTCACATCTAACTGGGTGCAACCATAGGTTGGGTTGGCTGGGAAATGCACGTTACAGATTGAACCTCACCGGTCCAGCACTTTCTGGTCTGGCAACCATGGTCCAGCATGGTTTTAGCTAGCTGGATGTCCACTTATCATGGGTGTTGCCAAGTTTCCCATGGTCCCATAAAGTTTGTTTCCAGCCACCAGTCCTAGCTCTCAGTGTTTTGTGCGGTTATTTAGCTCTCATTTACCCCTAAGTGTCTTCTCAGAGCCCAGTTGGCAGTGGACATGTTGGTGATGCTGCTAGATAATATTGACCTCCTGTGGTCCAGCAAATTCTCAGGTTCAGCACCGGTCTGATCCCAGGCATGCTAGACTAGAGAGGTTCAACCTGTGTAGCCATTATTGAAAAGAGCCAGTTGGAACTTTTCTGGTGGCAGTGTCTGTGTCTGAAAATGCCATTTTACTGCAGCAGCAATTTCATTGCATGGAAATGCAGCAATTGCAATGAAATGTCATTTAGGAACAAAGAAAAGGGAACAAGATGCCTTGAACTTTAGCGGAACATTTTGGATTTTCCATTGCCAATGTTTCCTTTCAGTTGGTAAATTGCCTGTTTCCTATGTTTTACAAATTGTATATTATGTTATATAATTAGTCTAACCCAGAACAAATTATTTCGATCCACATGGGATGATTTCGCCCTTACCCCCTGCCATGGGATTTTGCTTTAGGGGAAGTTTTGAATTTGTTTCTTTTCATTCGAATTTTGGATTTTCCATTGCCAATGTTTCCTTTCAGTTGGTAAATTGCCTGTTTCCTATGTTTTACAAATTGTATATTATGTTATATAATTAGTCTAACCCAGAACAAATTATTTCGATCCACATGGGATGATTTCGCCCTTACCCCCTGCCATGGGATTTTGCTTTAGGGGAAGTTTTGAATTTGTTTCTTTTCATTCGACCCCCCATGACAGAATTCCCCATTAAATGAAAATCAAGATCCCGCCCAGATCGCTCGATGTGTCCACTGTGTCTCTGCTTTAGCCCTAGCAGGAGATGCAGGTGAATTTCCCACTCTGTATAACCCTCTGCGGCCTGCTGTAGGCTGGGCAATATATTGTGCTCAGTAATTTCCATCATTTCTCTGAGTTAGCACAAACAAAGGAGGCTCATGATGCCAGACATATAGCTCCCTCCAGGGAGCACTGTTGTGTAAGTATGGTGGAGGGTTGCAAGGTTGCGTGGGTCCTTTGGTGCTGCAGATAGCCTGAGCTCTGCCAGAAGCTCTTGCCGCATTGGTGGCAGCGGTAGGGTTTTTCCCCAGTGTGGATGCGCTGGTGGGTCAGCAGACTGGAGTTCTGGCTGAAGGCCTTGCCACACTGCAGGCATTTGTATGGGCGCTCGCCGATGTGGGTGGTCTGATGCTGGATGTAGGTGGAACTCTCACTGAAGCCCTTGCCACATTGGTGGCAGAGGTAGGGTCGCTCCCCAGTGTGAGTTCGCCAGTGGGTAACCAGATGGGAGCTGCGCCTGAAGGCACGCCCACAGTCTGGACACTTGTAGGGCCGCTCTTTGGTGTGTAATGCCTGGTTAGTGATGAGGTTGGAGCTCTGGCTGAAGGCCTTGCCACACTAGTGGCAGTAGTAGGATCTCTCATCTGTGTGGGCCCGGCAGTGCTGGGCCAGATCCGAGCTCTGCCTAAAGCACTTCCCGCACTCCCTGCACTGGTAGGGCTTCTCGCCAGTGTGGATGAGGAGGTGCTGGGCCAAGGTGGAGCCCTGCGTGAAGCTGCGTCCGCACTCGGGGCACTGGTACGGCTTCACCAGGTGCACGCCTCGGTGCTTGAGCAGGGACGAGCACTCCACGAAGACCCGCCCACACTGGGAGCACTTGTGGCGCTTGACCCCCGCATGCACCCGCTGGTGGGTCAGCAGGTTGGTGTTTTGGCTGAAAGCGCAGCTGCACTGGGCACAGCAGTAGGGCTTCTCGCCCGTGTGGATGCACCGGTGCGTGGTCAGGTTGGAGCTCTGGGTGAAGCGCTTGCCGCAGTCGGTGCACTGGTAGGGGCGCTCGCCACGGTGAATGCGCTGGTGCTGGCACAGGGCTGAACTCCAGCTGAAGCGCTTGTCGCAGTCGAGGCACAGGTAAGGGCACTCCCCGGTGTGCGTGATCTGGTGCTGCAGCAGGTGAGAGCTCTGCCCGAAGGTCTTGCTGCACTTGCTGCACCGGAACGGCTTCTCGGCGGGCTGGTGGGCGGAGGGGAGATCTCTAAGCACCCCACTCTGCTGAGGGGAATGGGTGAGATCCCCAAACTCCTCTTCTTGGTGGCCTCCAAAGGGCTTCTTGTCCTGCTGGGGGGAGAAGTGGGATCCCTGAGGACCTTGTCCCCACAGCCACTGGCCTCTGCCAGGTTCTCCCAGAGCGGGAAGGGGCACAGGAAACTAGGGGCAGAATGCAACGTCCCTACAGTGTCGGCACCTTCCTTGCTCAGCATACAGTCAACAGCTGGAATGAAGAGACAGTCCAGATGAGAGAGACATCCTGAGTCACTCTGTTGTTATAACTTCTATGGCTGGAGCATCTACAAATGGGAGGGTTCGGGGCTTGGGGTGCTGGCCTGGGAGCCAGGAGATCTGGGTTCAATATTCTGCTCTGAAACCGACTGAGTCATGCTGGTGAATCTCCCCAGGCCTCATTTTCCCATCCTTAGCCTGATCCTTCCTGGCCTCAAAGTGGGGTTGGGCAGCTAGGCTAAATGACTGTGAGGTGCGCAGACCTGACACTGGTCAGCCCAGATAAATAACAAGGGTATAGGGCCCCATCATGCCAGGCGCTGTACAGACTCACAGCGACAGAGATCAGGGCCCTGCACAGACATGCAGTAAGGACATGGAACTGAGAAGAGCTTTGTTACCAGTTTCAAGGGGGTCCCCTTTCATGTCACAAAGCAGCTCAGGTGAAGTCTTGAGGTCTCCCCCTTTGCCTCCTGAGATCCAGGCTGGGGCTGGTCCAGCTGGGAATCAGAAGATTCCCATAATGCCCCAGGGGATGCCATCTTCTCCAGGTCACTGCTTTTACCCAGACCTGAGAAAGAGCCAAATGCGTCACCATGGAGGCAGGGCCAGGGACTTAGTGGCTAGCTAGTGTATCATGCTCCGCTTAGACTGGAGGTTAAGGAGCCCCTCTGCTCTTAGGAATCCTTTCTCTGGGTGGCTGCTTACGCTGGGATCACGTCTTAACCTTCTCTCGAGTCAGCTAAACCCATTGAGAGCTTCCCTTCCGTACCTCACTATTGGCAGGCTTGACAGAACTTTTTTTTTTTTAAATAATTTTGATGGATCACATCTGTTTGGTTTGAAGCAACTTTTTTCAATATTTATTTAAATTTTTTCAGTTGCAGAAAATGATAGGGGGTCCAATGACGGGGCAAGATGTCAGACAATAATTATTTGATGACAACAGATTTTGAGATTAAAAAGCTAAAGCTTTATATTTGCTAAAACACTAATGATCAATGTCACTGTCAAAATACACAAGGCCTGTAGCCTGAGATCAAACTCTAGTTAGTTCTCAAGCAGCATGTTTCTTGCCTTACCTATCTGTACATTTTTTTTATTACAATGGAAATTTTTTCCCATCTGTGGGTGTGTGTGGATGGTGACACTGACATTCATCGACATTTATCAACACACCTAATCCTGACTAGCTTAACTAGAAAGCAGGTTTTCTAGCTCTCAGATAGCTGCTGTAGCTCTTCTTTAAACCCTTCTCCAATCATGGGAGAGCTTTGCTTTGCCACCAAAGGCCCAACTACTGCTCCCACTTTCCTGGGATGTTCCCCAGTAGACTTTTGTGAGAATAGTGCTGGGACACCAATAGACAAGATACCAGCTCAAGCCAAGGGTCCTAGGCTTCACTAAACACTGACAAATGCAGAGCTGGAAACCGGACTAGTTTGCCTGTGTGTTTGCATTGCTACAATAGCTATTAGCTGCCTAGAAATGTGTTCGGTGTATGGACTTTATGATTCCTTGCTTCAGGCATTGATCTCGCTTGTGATATCTGTACCCTCTGTTATAAAGTGATAGTTAAGTGTGTGCTCTGCAACGATTCAAGTGTTTGCTATGAAACCGGAAATCCCGAGTCGGGAGACAAGCATTTCCTTACCCCAAGAGGCGTCAACTTCTGTCCAACCAAAGGAGGCCAAAGACAAAGTGTTGTGGAGTGGAACATCAGTGAACAAAAGACCCCCCCCCCCCCCCCCCAAAAAGAGCAGAACAGGCTTGTCCCAGTGTAACCCACCCACCTACTGGGTGAGGTGCACAGTCTTGTGGAGTGGTACTTAGAGAAAGAATGAGTGTGCTCTACAGCTTTAGCTGAGCGCCAGCTGGCTTTTAGTTCAAGTGTTAGGTTACATCTATGCTGCAACACTATTTCGAAGTAACTAGCGCTATTCTGAAATAATTTAGTCTGCATCTACCCAGCAATCAGTTATTTTGAAATAGTGTCAAAATACTGTCAATTTGGAGGACTTCTTACTCCGACGCCTGTAACCCTCATTGTACAAGGAGTAAGGGAAGTTGGAGGAAAAGTGGCTTGTTTTTAAATAAGTGCTGTGTAGATGGTCCTGACTGCAAAATAAGCTATTTCGAAATAAGCTATGCAATTGACTTAGCTCAATTTGCATAACTTATTTCCAGTTAATCCCTGCAGTGTAGACACACCCTGGCTCATGCACAGAGGTCCCAGTTGCGCCCCTGTCACACCAGCGGAGTTTGAATTCTGGGGAGAAGGGAATAAAATCCCTGTCAAGAAGAAAGGTCACACTGTGCTGTATGGAACCAGGAGAGAGCAATATTGCTGAGTTTAAGCAAGCTGCTTAGCACCAGGGGACTTCATATTACCATGGCTTTTGCTAATTTTTGGAACCTAAGACTGTAAATCTTGTGTGGGGGAACGTTACCTGCTTTAACTTGGTGAATAACCCTCCTGTCGATTTTTTAAAATGTTAATCAAACTTTCATTAATTACAGGCTTGGCTACAAGTGTGGTCTTGGGCCTAAAGTGCGCTAACACTGGGGTAAGGCCTTTGGGGCTGCCAGTCACTTGAATATTGTTGTGACTCTTGCTGGGACAGACCGGGGATCACAAGAGCAGGGTTGCTGGGTGGCGAGCGAGACCGGCCTGCCCAGGGCGCCTGAGTTCCCCTTTGATGCTTGCTTGGTGAGGGGTGACCCCAGAACACGCCATGGCTTTGGGGCTTGTGCCTTGCTTCGCATCACTCCGCCCTGCGCCTGGCACCCCCGGGCCGCTCCCACCGGCGCGGCGCGCGTCCCTGCCCATCAGCTGGCTGCGACCTGTGCGGGTCCTGGCCCCGCCCGCAGCCAGAGGGAAAGGCCGGGCGGGAGGGGGTTAACCCCGCCGCCTTTCTCCCAGCCCGCAGCCGGAGACGCCGGGACGGGGACGATATA